CATTCCTGAAGAAGGGTCTAGACCCGAAACGTCAGCTTTCCTGCTCCTCTGATGCTGCTTGGCCTGCTGTGTTCATCCAGCTCTACACCTTGTTATCTTAAAGAGTAGCCCAGTTCTGTTAATGTGAAATGCTTCGTTAGACTATATGTCTGTAACATTGTTTATATTCTAAAACTGTAATTGTATTCCAGAAATGCTATAGGTTGGAAGCATCTCCAGCATTTTTACACCTTCACTATTATCCCGCTATTAAAACACATTACTATATTTGGTGATTTTCTCTTGTTTCTATTAAAGTTGCTGTATCCTACTTCCTGTGCCTCTTTGGGTACCCTATTCAAATTGGTTACACAAATATCCTTTGTTTAAAATTCTGCTAATGTATTCTTTTGAGATAATATCTTCAAAAATTTGCATTTTTTATTTGATGTTGCATTAGACTATGTACTTTTCCAAATTGAATTATACATGAGACTGACTATTGGAATTTTAAGTCATATTGTTAGCTTTTTTGCATCAAAAAGACACAAAAAGCAGGACAAATCCAAACTCGTCAATTACTACCACCACAGAAGGGGAAATTGCCAGTACTATCAAGTGGGATGTTCACATCAGTGACTTGCTAACCAGAAATCATTTTGGGTTTAGCCTGTATCACTCGGCTCCAGACTATGTTTACGGTCATGGTCCAAGAATGGACAAAGAGCTACGTCCAAAGGTGAAGTGAGGGTGGCTGCTGTTGTCAGGAAGGCAGCAGTTGACCCAGTGTAACATAAAGAGCACTTATAAAACTGTCATTGATGGGGTTCAGGAGAAAGCTGTCCTGTGGCAAAATTCCTACCTGACGTAGAAAAAGATGGTTTGGAAGCCAACCATCTCAGCCCTAGAAAATTGCTGCAGCGTAATGTCAAGGCAATGTGCTAAGCCCAACGTTTTTCAGCTACACAATTAATTATTTATTTTCCATCAGAAGGTCAGAATTTGATTTTTTATTGAAGATATCCCAGTTTTTAAATTTCCTTTGCAATTTCCCTGATAACAAAGCAATCCATGCAAGCTTGCAGCAAAAACTAGACAACATTGGACTAATAACTGACAAGTAACATTTGTAGTACATAAGTGCCTCACAGAGATCAACTCTCAACAGGAGAAAGCATAATAGCTCTCTTTTTTGAGAGATTTAGAGCCCAGGACAATATCCTTTATTCAGGATGGAAGAGTAATGAGAAAAAAACAAGCTTAGGGCCCTGGATATTTTACAAGCTCTAAGTGCGTGAATCTAAACTAAGCATTGCTCCGTCAATATGGGTTCCTTGCAATTGAGGAACTACCTGAATATAACTATATGATTTAGTGATGCTCACGGTCTCTGCAGTGTGCCTAAATCCCCTTCTCCCAAAGCTAAGAAGGCTAACTGGCAACTTATTTTGAAACCTTAGAATGAGTAAGGTCACTCCAATGTCGTTGTTGTAGATGCCTGGTCAGTATGAGGCCCACTGAGCAATGGTGCTTGTTTCACAATATTACTGCAAACGACAAAGACTAATTAGGCCATATATGTTCATCTGTCACCTTAGACAGCAGCCCTTCAGACAGCAGGGTCTGGTTTCATTACGCTTAGGGCTGTGCATTGTGGCAACTCCAGTGCAACCAGTATGAACACACCTGGTTTCATTTGACTGCATATATTGCTATTTTCTGATGTTAGCCAACAGGCCTGAAGATTGAAATAGTGTCAGTAAATCGATATTGGGCGTCTCAATTTGAATTGTGATCTTTTGACCAGATTAGATCCTGAAGAACGTTCCCAAATTGATATCTTGTACAGAACTATGATGATTACGCTTTACTTTGGTTTTCGTATCAAATTTACACTATAGAGCATACAGACAATAAGATAAAGGAGCAGAATTAGGCCATTCAGCCCAACAAGTCTGCTCCGCCATTCTATCAAAGCAGATATCTTTCTCTACCCCAATCTCCTACCTTCTCCCTGTGACCTTTGATCCCCTTACCAATAAAGAACCCATCCAGCCCTGCCTTAAATACACTCAGTGACAGCCTCCACAGCCTTCTGTGGCAATGATTTCCACAGATTAACCACGTTCAGGCTGAAGAAATTTCCTCCTTATCTCAGTTCTAAATGGTCGTCCCTTCATTCTGCGGATGTGCCCTCAGGTCTTAGTTTCTCCCACTAGTGGAAACATCTTCTCCACGTCCACTCTATCTAGGCCTCTCAGTATTCTGTAAGTTTCAAATAGGCTATGTCAGACTTTTGACTGGATTAAATCGAATGGCAGATGCATGTGACTTTGGTTTAAAACTTAAAGAGATGCTGAGAGACCATTTAGTATGTGGGATTAATGATGTAACCATGCAATAAAACCAACTATCTGAAGCCTAACTGGACTTCAAACAGGCATTACAACTAGCTTTATCATTGGAAAATGCAGCAAGTGGAGAATATAAATTGCAGGGTATTCCAATGGAAGTGGACACCCTTGCCAGTACAACTGAGCTTGAGGAACACAATTTGAGTAAAGACAATTGCACAGTCTCATTTAGGACATATCCTGAACAGATGGACTCTCGGTCAGCGCGCAGCAAAACCCCAAAACAAAGTCAAACCTCCGCCAAGCGATCAACATTTTCTTCAGAATCTGGGCTAGCAAGCCATTGTAATTGCTGCTGGTATGTGGACTCGAGACAGCGAAAGAGTCCTACTAGACCTAAATAGAGTAATAGAACTCATAGGCTGGTATCGAGGAGAGTGCACACGCTAGAAAATCGACGTACATATGGTTTGGAACATTCAAATCAGAACCAAAATAAATGTCTGGTTAAATTGTCACTTGGTTCTATTTGAGATCAATACCAATGTGGCCATTTCAATGATCACACAACCAGTCTTCAACAAAATTTGCATTGGACTTCAGCCCTCAAGTTTGTGCAAGACCTTGGCTAGACTGAGAACCTAGACTAAGGGGAGGCAATGGCCTAGTGGTATTATTGCTGGACTGTTATTCCAGAGACCCAGAGACCCAGATAACATTCTGGGGACCCGGGTTCAAATCCCACCACAGCAGGTGGTGGAATTGAATTCAATAAATATCTGGAATTAAGAGTCTAATGACGACCGTGAATCCATTATCAATTGTCAGAAAAACCCATCTGGTTCACTAATGTCCTTTAGGGAAGGAAACTGCCATCCTTACCTGGTCTGGCCTACATGTGACTCTAGACCCACAGCAATGTGGTTGACTTTTAACTACCCTCTCGGTAATTAATGCTGCCTAGCCAGCGACGTCTTCATCCCGTTGACGAATAAAGGACCTGTACCAGGGAACCTTTGCAGATTAAGGTATAACGTCGGTTCCAGTCTCTTATGAGAAGCAGCTGGTTTGGTTGCCACTGATTGTAGTAAAAGGCTCGGGCCCAAGCTTGATTGCGGAAAAATTGATTTATAAAGCTTCATGTAGCTTGGCTCAATATTTTTTGATTAGAAAATAGCTGCCTGAGTGAAGTCCTAATTAAATACCCGGAAGTTTTTTCAGGAAGGTAAGGGACAATCAAAGGAGCCAAGGCCACTTTGCATGTTGACCAGGAAGCAATTCCACAATTCTTCAAGGCCCACCCAGTGCCATTTGCCATATGGCAAAAGTCGAGGCAGAAATCAGAAAGTTGGAAAGTGAAGAAATCATCAAACCAGTCCAGTTTGCGGAATAGGTAGAACCAGTTGTGATGTCCAATGGGTCATTTCGCCCTTGTGGGGATTTTAAACAAACAGTAAACAAATGATGTTCACAGCACCCCTACTTAGGTGTTCACAGCATCTCTGCCTTGAATTGCATTGCCTTCTTTTTTCGTGCTATGACCCCTCAACCAGAGATAGTCTTCTCTCTCTTGCTTTGCCATTTAGTGCAGATACAAAGGAAGGAGATTGGTTGTCAGTAGGCCTCAGTCAAGTCAATGGGGATAGCCTTTGTTCAGCGCAGTAAACCTTTGATACCAGTCCAGGGACTTGGAAATGGTCTATTAGCGACTTGGGGTAATGAGAGTCGGGATGGTCTCTACATAATAGGGTGAGGAGCAAAATGTTAGGCAACCCACCACTCACCTCGAGTCTTTATTTTCGATTGTATGTTGCTTTCTTCCTGGAATGAGGGAAATGCAGATAGTTAGCAAGGTGAAAGTGGGTGGCAAAGCCGTTACTTTAGGGGCAGTGGGAGAGGTGCCCCAAGCTAGTAAGTAGGCAGCACAGAGGGCATGCAGGGTTAGTGGTGGCAGGGGTTGGGGTGGCTGGCAGCGCACAAGAAAAGATGTTGCAGGCAATAATGAGAGTAGTAGAACATGAGCTTTGGTGAGAGGTATTGAAGAGAAGATGGTGGCACTTACACTGGCAAGGT